ATTGGAGCTCCATTCCAGCTGGATTTACTCCACCATTTGAAGCTCGCTTCAACCCGCAGTTATGGAGCCCTGGAGCCATTGCGTTGGGGTCTTCTTACAAAGTTTTCAATTACTTATTGGAGCTCCATTCCAACTGGATTTACTCCACCATTTAAAACTTGCTTCAAACCGCAGTCATAGATCCCTGGGACCCGATATTTTGGGCGAGTAACTAATGAAAAAACACCATAAAAGAGGCTTGATCGTGAGAAAAATTATTGCCCAGTTCCGGAGATGCTGTCTCTTTCAAAAACACAATTAACACCAATGAAAGGAGTATCGAACTTCTTTTAATCCGATTCGCCAGAAAATGGTTTCTTACTTGCAAGCTCCTGGACCGCAGACAGTAAACTAACAAGTTGATTGACATTCACGATAGCACAGTCTTCAGGGTGTCAGTTTAGTTTCGTTATTCCGGTGATAACTGGGCTCTAGCTAGCTTACCACGTTTTTGTAGTGTACTTTTTTGACGTATTTAAAAAACTTCGAATGCATACAAGAACCATGAACTCGAATAGGCTTGTTACTCCACTTCGAAATGATGACAGAGGTGGTTGGTCTACTTCACGAACAAACAGCAGAGGACAGGCGTGGTTCTTTAGGATACTTCATCCAAGACAAACAAAAAATGGTTGCCCACTACTTTTTTGACCTAAAAATGTATGAACTGATAGCGAACGCTCATGGAACCAAAAGACACAACAAGGTTATACGAAACTTTTACGAGCTTCATCGAGAACACAGTTCTACAAGGATCTGTTCATTACAACTACCTTCGAAATAGAAATATGTGTTGACATTATCAAATGGTACTGTAGACAATTTTCTGAAATCCGATTCGATATTGATCCAATCTGTGCAGAACAAAGAATATCAGCTGACATTATAACTTCGTGGCCGTCGGGAGTTTAGGAGTTTTAATGGATTTCTCAGAATGATAAACTATTCCGCAGTTCACTGTTATACCTTCAGATTAACCTGAACTTGGTGGAGATAATTCCCGTATATTTTGAACAAATTTACTCCCGGCTGGACGGCATTTATCTCTTGAGTCTAGAAAAGCTTTTTCAAGACATTGTTGTCAAGTAACCTGCAGGGAACCCCTTTTCCATAAAGTCATCTTGTAAAAAAATTTGCTCGGGCCTAATACATGCTCATGATTCTGTCAGCTGCACAGACGGGCTTCATTATTTTATAACGCGATCGACGAAGCATTCCTATCCATCACACACGGATATAGTACAAGACGGTCAGTGCGGAAGGAATTCCAAGCTGATGCATGCTCAATAATCGTCCGAGACGGCACAGAAATCTTCCAGTTCGCGCAGCATAATCGACAGGTTTGAAGTGAAAAATTCCAAGCCCTTGTTAGGATTCGCTCGCTTTTCAACCTTCTTTGGTGAAGTCATTACTCCCATTCACTCTGTGCCTCGTACAACGAACAAGGTAAACAGTTCCGTACTTTTAGCAAGCCAGTGATAGGTTTCTGCAGTCAAGACCAGTGACATTGTCGGAGGTGCGTCAAAATCCACCATCAACTCCATTGGCAACCGCATTGTCGCGATGTTTTGTTGGTGTGCGCGTTTGGTCCCATGGATGGACAATAACAACTCACTTTGGTGGTATGAAGCTAGCTGTGAACGTTCACTTCAGATTCAGTCCTTTAGATGAAGCCAATCCACACTGTCGCTGTTATTGCTAGCCATGAGCAGTGTGCGTCTTACGAAACACTAGTAAGAGAGTTACGAAGCCGAGATCCTGCTTGCAAACCACCGGTGGTACCTTATCATATTCCCTCAGAGAACCGATAACAGAATGGACCCGAAATCTAATTCATCCAAAGTACTTGACAAGCACGATGGGTTCACCAAGCTTCACTTGGTTTCATGGATGTCTCCTATCTGAGACTGCTTACGGAATTTCGGTTTGCCCCAGGTGTGTTGGATTTGGGAATAACTTCAACCTTATCAATCCTTTGTGGACACACAGGGAGTGGGTATGTTATTACACAGGCTTCCCCATCCAGAAGGATAACACTCACCTGTCTCCAACCGAATGCTTCATATAACTATGGTTCGAGCTGAAATCACTCCGATGCCGTTCACGGTGTCTCATCTAGTAATCAAGAGTGTAAAATCGTCGTTCATAAGTGTAACGATGCCTCCCGCATGAAAACACCTTAACACCATTTTCAATCCGACAGAAACATGAAACACCAAACAGGCGAACCGTTTTGACGCCTCCTTAACCGAAAACGTCAGTTGTCGGTTGAACACTCGCGACCGCGATGTTACGATCATGACAGCCTTCTTAGCACCCAGTCGTTGTTTGTCAGGTGAAAAATAAGGTCACAGTCCGACAAACACACTCATTTGCATACCAGTTTCGCTTTTACGGGAGACTCACCTCAACCAGAAATGAGTCACTCGTCCTTGATGGTATTCTCTAACGAAACCTGTTATTCCAGGCCGCACCATATTTCAGTTAGTATGATATTCGGGACGTCACAAAACATTGTGTTGACGTAACACACTACTTATAAGGTTGCTGAATACTATTTGTTAAACGCAACCAGCTTCGCTTTTCTTGAGCCCCATCAAGTAGGCGCAGTCCCCGAGTTTCCACCGGCATCATGTTTCACCGGAACCCGATTTAGACAGATTTCGACGAGTGGTTAGCCTCAGGAAGGACGAAACCGGTCGTGGGTTGTCGAGGCGTATTCATCAATCCAATAAATAGCCTGTTTAGATCACAATCAGTTCACACCACCTCAAGAATGCTCCAAGTGGAGCTGTTCAAACGCGCGCGAAATTCAAGTGCTGGTCCTGTAGCGTGGGATGTCAGGAAGCCGGTTCAAACGCGCGCGAAATTCAAGTGCTGGTCCACATGCGCTCTACTTGGGCGCTCAGTATTCGCACAATAGAGTTGAAATTTCGAAAGTTATGACTATGGACTAAATCAATCGGGCAATTAAGTTGAGACTACCAGTCTACACTTTCTAGCCCAATTTAGGCATCTCGGGGTCTCAGCGATGCTGGGAAATTATTCCACAAGACCTTTCAGACACAGGCATGGTTGCTCCAGTGAACAATGAAATTTGGTGAGCTGCAAAAATATCAGCATAGATTAGAACGGTTTTGGGTTTGAGGACATATCAAACAAAATGCTTAGTGAGTTTTAATCCACTGGTAAAGGTTTTGCGGCTGGGAATATTGTGCGGATAACGAGTATCCTCTATTTATCAGTCAATCCCTCAATAATTGAGCAACGGAGGCCCACGAATGCCATCATTCACTTTCAATGCAACTGATTACATCTGGCTGCAGCCACAGGCGACTCTCTGGTCCCAAAGGCATACAGTTCGGTATCCTTAACAGTGCCATTGCTCTGGCCCTCCTGCGTTAAATCTCTTTCCACTTAAATGTCGCGCCATATGCTTTCACTTATTCTCAAAAACGTTCAAAACTTCGCCACAACCATTAGGGGAAATTCGTTTAAGACCCATCTAACCACAGTCGATTAGGCTTGCTGCAATCCCTTGCAAGCAGATCGGGGGTATCTGTGAGGCCTTTCTGACGTTATTCTTTTACATCAACTTTCAGAACTCTGCGCAACATGGTTTAACTCCTTACTGCTCCTGTCTGGCTTGAGCTTGTTATTCTCGAATCTTACAACCACGGATGGATCAAACCTAATCGTCTGTTGTGTTTAACTCGAGCTTTCAAGGGTCCTCCTCAGGGTAACTGGAAATAACTCTCAAGCTTTCGGAGATATCGGCATCGCTTGTCTCCTTCGTCGCAGATTTTCAGCCTTCTCTACCAATCAAACATCCTGAGCTTGAGTCGGTGGACCTATTTTCACCCCTTCTGGACTCTCATTCAAGTTTCAGTTTCTGTTGCTGGCTCCAGTCTCTCTATTTAGTTACAACGTTTTTTGCTTGCTACCACCCAAACACCCAACGCTTATGTATGCGAGTTATCCCAGAACACGCTGTAGCTGCTCGTTCATTTCAGAGAAGACATTAAGCATCTGCTCCTTTTGAGCTGGCCAGATCTACCTCCACCCAGCACTTCTATAGAGCCATATGTATAAAGTTGTCTAATTCCTTCTTCGTACCCAATTAAAACTTCCAAGGACAAAGATGTTGGATTTATGATAACCACTATTGGTCCCTGTCCAGCTCCACCCACAAGACCGGATAAATAAAAGTTACCACCCATGTTCCAACTTTTATCCATACTTCCGCGCAAATTCCACAAAGTGATTACACAACACCGCATCAGTCTTCCCCATTAAGGCCTTAACATCCAACCATGAATGAGAGAGCTCGGTCAAAAATTCACATCGACGGTAGGTAAAACCGAACATCCTAAGGGTCACGTAGGATGGGTGGCGACTAAACGATTGTTCGTGGCAGCTAGAACTGATGATAGAAGTTGCCTCCAGTGCGTAATACGATGAAATTAGGAGAGCGCTCTGGATGGGATAAAAATTCAACGCATGGGGTCTATGGATAGGAAACAACCTGGGGTTTATTACGACAACTGGTAGAGAAACAAAAAAGTCTGAAATTGACCTTAGATGAGTCATCGTTGTGTTTATTTAAGTGAAAATCTGGAAGCTAGCCGTGCATACATACACAATACAAGCGGACAAAACACCGTGAATGAAATCTAGTTGAGCGCTAGTGATTTGAGAGAAGTGGTGAGGCGGACGATGTTGTCAAACGGTTATCTCAGCATGGGGAAATATGCTTGCCAGCGCGAGGATTTGCAAAAATAAATGTCCATTGGTGCTTTAAACTGGGTTCTAGAAGGAGCGTGGACAACCATCGGAGGAAGGTCATTCCACGCACCTATTACCCGAAATGAGAAAATAATTGTCTAGCGAGATGCCGACGGGCGAACTCGACTGCTAAGCAAGAGTGACCTGGATCAATCAATGAACCACCAAACATTTACCCCAGGGTACCAGTGTTTCCTCAATCCCAAGCACAATACAGCCATAATAGAACGCGAAAATCTTCCTCATTCCGGCCACGTGTACACCGTTTTGAAGATTGTTCAAAGGCCAGATACAAAGATACTCCAGGGGAAAGGGACCAAGCATCGCGAGACGCGTTTCGTAGTCCACGGATTTGAGGCCAGCAACCATTCTCGTAGCGGCTAGCTGGACACGCTCAATGAGGGTGACGTCATTCGTGCGCCCTGAGTGGACAACTTGGCTGCCGTATTCCAGGGGTGGCCTGACATAGACCCCATAGAGTATTTGGAAGTCCATGCGAGTAATATGGGAGAGGGTGCATCGGATCATCCATGGAATGGTTGATGCCTTTTGGGCCAATTTCTCATGGTGCCGTGAGAAGGACAAGTTTGAGGAGACCTAGACGCCAAAATCCCCTTTGGTGTCCATCCTCATAATGTTTCTGGTCCTCACCATGCATAACAAAGCCATTAGCTAAGTCTCCTCCAAATGGCATATGGACGCACTTTTCGTCATTCGGAGGAAGGATCCAGTCAAACGACCACCGCTTGGCAGCGTCTGCATCCATTAAGAGGGTACTGGCATTGGGACTCCAGGATTTCAAGTCGTCCACAAAAAGTAGACATGGACTTGCAAGAACATCTGGGAGGTCGTTGACATAGATCAGAAACAGCACTGGTCCAAGGACGGCCTTTTAGGAACTCAAATGCAGACCGGCGCTGAAGAGGTGTAGTTCGATCCTATTCTCACTCGGAATGATTTGTCTGATGGAAACGCCTTGATCCAGTGAAAGATGTTCCCCTGGATACCGTAAGACTCGAGTTTATGGAGCAACGGGACTTGTGGACTCCTATCAAATGCTTTTGAGAAGTCGAAAAATATGGCATCCAATATGAGTCGTTCGTCCTTCGCTTGGGTCAAGCCGTCCATATACACGAGCGGGTATATTACGGGTTCTGTACGCCAAACAAAAACGGAAGTTTCGCACGAGGAGCAAACCCACATAGATGAATAGGAGGCGTTGGAATCCAGAAGCAAACAACTGCGGCGCAGAGGCCCCTTCGAAGCTCTGGAATCACGCCCGGTGCAAAACCACCATATTTGTTAAGCTCTCCGGTGGCAAATTTTTCCTCCCCGTACTCGGACGCAGAAGAAAAAGTGTCAAGGGCTCCGACAATGAATGACATCAATCTTTTCAACAAATTTCAATATACTCAACAGCGTGTTTGCCTAGAATAACCACACAACATCACACTTAAGGAAATCTGGCTCAAACCGGCCACCAATGTTGAGACCCCGATCAGCGGATAATTTGCTTTCCAAGCTAACTGGAAACTGATGAGGGCGTTTAGGGTTAATCAATTTTCGATCGCTCCTTTGCCGTCTCCGACTGTCCTCTTTGACACCACCTGTTCAGCATTTTGTGTTGCGGAGATCCATATTCCGCCACCTGAGGCCGATGTTGTCCCTTTTGGCGGGGTTTACCGTCAAGCTCCTCAGAGGGTGACTTATTCCTTGCACAAAAGCTAATAACTCTCGTTCAGCTAACGCTTGCCGCAATGTTTGAAGGCAAGTGATTTTAGTGTCCCAAAGGCCACCCGAGTGGAGTTTCTAAGCATCATTTCTAGCGGACATTTCGCAGTGACACCAAACAGAGCCGTTTAAAAGGGCTACTGGATTCATCATGTCGTCACATGCATTAGATATTCCATATGGCAATCACCAACTAAATTCACTCCGTTTCTCAAGAGGTAATTGAGAACCTAACGGAACATAGTTTGTGTGACCACTGTGTGATGCGCTTTATTTTCAGCCACCACTGAGACAGGAACCCCGTCACTCTTACGCGGATACGAGACTTCTACCCTGCAGACCTCCATGGAATGCATACCCCGCTTGACCAGCCTAAACTGGGACCAGCTTCAGTGGTGGAGACACACAAGAACACCGTCCAGAAAATTCGTAAACCTAACGTGGTGTTCATCCGAAGGAACTACCGCGCAGCTGAACGTATAGGCAGCAACCCAAAAGAACTGGGCATATTCTGGAAACGAAGTTTGATCTATGTTTTAAAACGATAGCTGCAGGAGACCTGGAGCTGAGTTGGTATTCTTCAGCATACAAAACCGCTTTAGGCCAAAAATTCCTAAATGGAACATACGACGACAGGCTAATGACAGGGTTCGCCCAGGAAAACAAAACTGTGGTATTTAAGATGATATACCACCGAAAAACAATCAAACCGTTTTCCCTTTGAGAGACAGAAGCCGAGGATCCAACAGTGACGAAAATGATATCTGGAATCTATACAGAGAGCTATGAAGGTCTGTTTTCTTCCCCAGGGAACTTATCGCAAATAATCTTAACAAGCCCTGACTAAAAACTGTCCCTAAGCAACTTGCTCCTTACGGCGGAGGAAGTCCACCCAAACGTGCATGGGATAATCTCCTTCAGTGCTTTGGAGCTAAACAAGTTTTGCCTGAGAATCCTGAAGCAAATATAACTCATGCTAACAAGGCAAACCAAACAAATTTGGTGACCGCTTATCACCTGGTAGCTACAGCCCTATCCACCACGAGCATATTCTGCGAGGTGATGGAGCGCATCCTGAAGCAGGCCAACTTAAATCACCCGAGTAACAAAAATTGGGCATCCCCAGGGGAATACGGGGTACTCTCAAACTGATAGTGTGTGGCGAAATTGTTGAGACTTACGGATACAAGCCAAACACGGAGAACATTCATGGATGCCTCATTTTTCTACTTCTCCAAAGTACTTGAACTCGTTCCAGAAGCTCAAATGCCCCATACACCCGGATCTTGTGGAGATTAGGGAGGAATTCTACGCTGGATTTGGGCTTCTTTTACACTGATCCCCGTTGGAGCACCTCCTTGTGACTAGCTTCAAGATTTTCTTTCAAATCCAAGTCCGCTTTTTGCAAACTACCTAAAATCTTGGAATCTCAGCACGTGCACCCCACAAGCGAATCTGAACAATGAAAAGCAGTGGTCAGTATACTGACACTGTAGCGGAATATGACCTTATCAGCGTGTTTGGACAAATGACCTAGCAAAGTAACCAATACAAAATCACAAAATCACAATAAGAGAAGAATAAACGGTTGATCATGACTCACGAATGCGTAGATCCAATAGTTCACTACACCGATCCAGATGCAGTAACCAGCTGTGAAAGAAGTATTCACTCGTAGAAAGTTCCCACGGATGGTTAAGGTGTGAGTGGTATATTCCACGGTAGGAAGGTTGTTCACGGCTGAAAAGTGCCACGGGGATTTAATGTGGCGTTCAACAGTTCACACAAACACAGAGATCTAGTCCCGCTGGTTCAGTNTCGGTGGTCAGCAAACAGTTCAACGGAGCGTAAATTCACTGATTCAGCAAGAAGTCATCAAGTCGCACCAAACAATTGTGTTGGTACCACTAAAACAAACGTCATGATAAAATATGTACGACAGTTACAAAATGTAGTTTAAATTCGGGAAAAATGGTAAATATGTGACAACGGATTACATAGACTACAACAACTTTCTCTTTTTTTGTCCAGAGAAGAATCAACAACCGCCTTCATCACCGTGCTGAGAATGAAGCAGAAGATATAACGAAGCTGGATGACAGACAGGATCAAGTCGCTGGCATACTTGCCTACCTGCCACAAAGGGAGACATACACTTATTTGTTTTACTTTCTCAGTAACCGATGCTACCATAGTGTTGAACTCCGGTTACTTTTTGAAATGGCCGTAGTGCGCCCTTACAGTTATAATGTTCTTTTGGGGAACTGGTGGGAAGAAAGGCTTCATCAAAACGTAAGACGCTGCATTATCGTGGAAGAATTTCAGAAATTTAGGATCTGTTGAAGGCCATTGGTGCACAAAACCAATTGAAGAATAAACTAGAATGTTCATTAGAACAGCTTGCTGGTAAACATGTATCGGTGGGTTTTGTGGCTAACATGAGTGAGGCTTTAAGACCAACTATCAGGTCTCTGAAACTGACGAATTTGTGAGAATTGGGAGCGAAGTTCAGTTGATCAATCCAGGAATATCAGAATTCTATCGGAAGGCCAAGTTATCGAGTCCCCGACCGGCCTATACATTAGCTTTTGGTGTTGTTAACCTGGACCGCATATTGGTTCTGCTATCAATTGGAGCTGACAATATATTAGAATCAATGTACGAGGAGAAGGCTACACCAGTTGTTGCTACTTCAAATTTGTCACCCGCTTCTAGAAGCCTGTTCAGAATAGAAAGGTGAGAGTGCGCTGAACACTGGCCTTAGAAAAGAGTGAAACTTTCACTGCATTACGTTAAACTTCAGAATTCAGGACAGGGTTTCCAGCGACCCACACAAGGAAACAGTCTTAGAATATGCAGATTTACCAAAACACCAGGTGTTTCGTAAAGTCAGGTGATATAGTTGTTACATACAGTTCATATAATTCTTCATGTTGAGGTCAAGACGCTTATAGTGAGACCGGACCGCAGACTGCCCAGTTGCGGAAGCGGAAGTGGTATCCACAGTCTAGCCTACCGTATAAATGTGCTCAAAAAGTTCACATAAGTTGTTCTTGCGGGTGATCAGGGATTCAAAGAATGTGAACGGCGAACCTATATTCACTGCTCAACTTCCGGAATGTAAATGAACAAAGATTATGTATTGCTGATTATCGGAAATAAGCCAAGTTGATTGGTTGCCCAATATGCGTTATGGTGGATCCGTGTGTAAGCATAAGAATTTTCAAACCAAATTACGCCGATGATTTCAGGCCTGATAAATAAGTTCAACGTATATGTGCACCCTAAGGTGATTTGAGTGCCACTGATTCCAACGGACATCAGGTGAAAATTAGAATGTCGGGATGTTTTTAGCTACGGTAATTATCTTTCTGCATCAAGCTACGTTTTCAAGACTCGCCTGAATGAGAATCCCAGGTTTCTGCTCCAGATTGTGAATAGGTAAGGCTTTGGGTTTCAGAGATCTTGTTACAGGGTGATGACCCTAATATCATGCTGTTGACGATGAAGATGATGATGATACCCATGTACTACCTCTACTTTTCGACTAAGAGATGGCTTTCTACGGGTCTCACACAAGCTGCTGCAAAATCCGACTGTAGTATCCGATACTTTTGGAAGTGTTGCGTATATCTTAGAGTTTGCTATAGATGAAAAGTGGCAGAAATAAAAAAATCAAGGTTGAAATTGGTTGTGTTATAACAAACCACAATTGTAAGACCCTCAGAGCCGATTTTCTTGAAGCTCGTGTGTATAGTCGTTGACGTTCTAGCATACCTTCACTCACTAGGACAGATACTGTTCCTGTGATCAATGGTTTCTCGCACCATAGACTGCAGGCGTCTCTAACAGAAGGACAATTTTTGTCTGGTGAAGACTTCTAAGAAGGTTAGGCAGGTAACAACTACAGTTGTGTATAAAATAAATTACCAACATTTCGCCCTCCGTGAGCCGTTTTATTAAAGTATGCAGCGCAAGTGGATAGTATGTTTGACTATTATATGTGGTCGATTTTGTCAGGGGATTAGCGCCTGTGATCACCCAGTGAAGAATGTTACGCGGAAAATACATTATGCTTGCGGCCGAAAAGCAAATTTACCCCGATTCTTACCTTGTAATATCCCAGTAAACACGCCACCGGTGGCCATCGGTTGCAAAAGGTGGAAAAGAGTGGTGGCTTGTTACACTTGCCACCGCTGGCGCCACTGGTGGCTAAGGGCGGCCAAAGGTGGCACCTCGAAAACATTTCTGCCGACTTTTCATGGCCTTTTTCGAAACCCCTTGCAGCCGGACGAGGCCACCGGTGGCAACCACAAACTTGTCTAGGCACATTTATTGGCTAACTTACTGCCTCTGTGAGTAATCGCTGACTACCTAACCTCATGGCATGCGTATTATTGCCGAAAGCCGGAGATAATTACTAAACGCGTCGTTCTTACGACAACATGCTACATGGTCAAAAGATAACAAGGTTATTGGAAAAAAGCGGCCCTCTCGCGTCGCAGCTTCCGGTTTCCAGGGATTCGATCAAAGGCTCCCTTAAACCAAGACAAGATTGATTTCTCAATGAAATCCACTGCGACACTCGAGTGTGCGGCCACGGAGTACATTGCATCTAAAGTGACAAATGTCAATGTAAAACAGCTACCTCATCCTTTATGAGTGTTGGCAACTCTGTGCATGATATGGGTCTTTTTTCTTCTCCCTTCGACCACGTCAGGCGATTTGCAAACTCCGGAGCAAACAGAGCACGCAGCATGTTCCTGACTGACCGGCGAGGGTCAGAGCAGACCAATCTGAAAAGAAAAATTACCTTTACTACAAAAGTGTGGACCAGGGCTGAGGTACTCACTGTTCACGGAAATCTGCGTCTAACAGTCTGACCAGGAAAGCATCCAGATCTTCCATTTTGGTCAGTTCATTGATCTCTTCCGTAGTGGTTTTTCGCTTTTGT